GTCTACAATCACACGCAGGAAGCAAGTCTAGATAATAGCATAGGGATGCATTTTACATGGAAATTGACTTGCAAAATAACCCCGTGTAGCGCTTGCAAGCCTTGTAGCTGTCGGTGCCACACTCGCCCACAAAATATTAAAATCGTTTATGATATATTTCGCGATCCACGCGCCCAAACGAAATTAACATTTTCAAGTGATGTTAAATTTGCCGTATAAATATGTAAATTTTATTTTAAAGGCTTACTACTATAGGCGCCCTGGCTCAATAACTAACGTCGCATAAGGCGCAGCAAGTTGTGTTTGAAATCATTCCGGGAAAACATAAGGAAGATCAATGTGCCTGTGTACACATTTCCATCTTCAACCGATGCTCCATATCAGAAACACAGGATTCATTTAACTCTATATTAAGAATTGTAAATTATGTAACGACAATGTTACTAATAATCTGAATTGTTGTATAATGATACATTGTAGAATATCAAAATGAAATTCTTCTTGAAACCGTATTAAAGATGAAATAAAATCGTTTTATGATTCGCCATCACATGCCGTCTCTACGTCGTTTTTAGCTTCATAGTTTTTATAGTAATGCGTTATACTCATAAGTACTCTAGGTGCTTACCAAACATAAACTTAAGTGACAATAATATAATAATTGTCAGTAATATAATATTTGACCCAGTTCAACTGTTCTAAAATGGATGTATCTCGTAGTTCATGGGCGACAAATTGAAGGGTTTCATTAAGGTCCTCCGTCCTCCATTACATCGCTGGGGTCAGAAAAAAATTGATATACATTAGGTTAATATGTAAATTAAACGTTATAAGAGATATAAACGGGTTTACGATTTCTCTTCCGCTCTAACAAAAAGTTATTTAAAGTAGCTGATGCATACAAATTATTTTATATAAAAATTCTATCAAAATAAAGGGTAGTGAGTAAGCAAATATACATAATTTTATAAGGGAAAACGACGCACTGTGGAATTCAGTTGCGAATTGCTCGGGCCCAAATTATTCCGTTCACGTAGCTCTCTAATCTATACTTGAACTAAATTTCGTATTTACGAAACGTGTTACTTGGATTTCATTGCAGATTTCCTTTTGTAACACTACTTTTATTACAAACGTCATTGGGCCTTTCAATATGGCAGGCAGTTCATAAATGTCATCTTCAAAAGATTGCCTTCCTTCTTATAAAACGTCATCATTAAAATTGTACTTTTTAAGATTGTGTGATGGTTTTTCATAAAACAAGACAGTGTAGGGTTATTAAGATTATACACGCGGGATTTTGTAAAGTAATTTTGATTAATATTAAGATAGCTAAATAATCATTTATTTAAGGTATTTGTTCAAATTTTTTGGTGCCCGACATAGCATACGAAGCAATATCGGAGCATCATATTTATATATATACATCACATATATATCACTATGTTTGAATGGAGTTGTATTGTAAACACCTAGTACCCACGAATTATTTTTTATCGAGAAATCCCTTCAATCTAGAATTAAAATTAGCGAAAATACAATTTTCTACATGTTCCGATTATTATACGTATCCGAAATATTTTGTTTTGTAAAAAGTAAATATCTAGTTTAACTCGTAAATATACAAATGTCCGTTTGAGACCCGTCTCGGTCTATACTAAGTGAAATATTCCAGCAAACTGTTAAACATATAGGCGAAACACGTCACTGTCGCGTCGATTAAATGTTCCGTTCAAAAATCTTCAATAAAAACCGACGTAAACTGTTTCCAGTCTCTGTACTTTATTACTCGAGCTGTCGTCGCCCACACGGACGAAAACAACTAATATTTTAAAACATAGTTTCGTCAATATTCAGGGTTATGGGACGGTCTTTATTCGAGCAGCGCTTAAAATATTATTATATAAGTATGTTAGTTGAAATTATTTTAACTATGGCCCAACGTTTCGGATGCTTTGCAGCAGCCGTGGTCACGGGTCGGTCTCCCCGTGACCGCGGCCGTTTAACTAATGTAACTAATGTGTCGCGCTTTAAGTCGTTGAAGTGTTTTCTTTAAATGGGTACTACCCGCGTAAACGGACATTATTGAATATACATATATATATATATTGAACAGACAGTATATGACATTTCATACATACTCAGAATGCAAACAGTGTTTAAATTTCCTGTTTGTCAAAAGAGTATACTGGTGCGACATCTCTTCGTCATCTCAAATCGATCGTTTTTAAAAGTGTGATGCAATAAAGCTTGTGAGTATGGCTTTATCCTTAAATGCAGGATAAGCCTGTACCCGCAGATAAGCTGCAGTCGCCCTCGCACCGAATTGAATGCTTACTTTTTATTACCGCCCCGTTTCATCCCGACCACATTCCTCATTTATTCTTACAATTACAAAATCTCGTTTCGTATTGTGGCCACCCAGCTTTTATACGTTAAAGCTCGCAGTGTTTACGCGTTCGAGCCTCGCAACATCTGCGAGGTTTGTCGCTTTTACACGATTGAATAGAGAAGCAGATTTAAGCACTTTTGTTTTGTTACAACTGGTTTTCTCTCTCGAGACGAAAGCGTAACATATACGAATGTTAATGCCACACGTAAATAGCTATCATGAAGACGAGCATAAATCATTTGGGATCCAATGAGGTGTCTCTGCATATATATTGTAAAAATATACTCATGCAAATGTAGAGGCTTTCAGCGTTTGTGAAGGCACGATAACTTGAATCCTGAGTAATGTGCCGCGAAGTGGGCCACGCGAGAAGCGACCGTGAGGAAGTTGCGTAATTCATTATAATATGAAACTTTTTTATCTATACCAATACTATAAAGCTAAAGAATTTGTTTGTTTGCAAGCGATAATCTCAGGAACTGCCGGTTTGAGATTTTTGTATTAGATAGACCATTTATCGAGGAAGGCTTAGAAACAGACGAGAATGTTAAAAAACGCGGGCAAACTCATTCATCTTCGAGGGCTTTCCGCGTGGGCGCCGCGAAAAGTTCCCAAGAAACCAAAAATATATATGAAAGAATGATCCCTATTTAAATGATCTAAACAAATGTCGGCGACACGATATTTATAATTTTTAAGATAGACTCGCATTTAGTGAAAATTAATGCATTATTACCAACTATATAGAGGTAGAGTTGTATCAACATAATAATATTAAACTAGCAAACAAAACAATGTTTGCCCAATCAGCTAGTCATTTTAAACATTGATATACCTATGTTGATTTTAATTTTTTTTTAAATAATAACTTCATGTAGTAGAAATGCGGTATAGAGGTATAGTGTGCAACTCACGAGTTTCGGAGTCTGGATTATTTAAAGAAAGCGTTGTTGCTTCTTACGTTCCGTGCTTCAATGTTCTTCACTCAAAAATGTTCTCCCGAAAGTTCATATTCGATTTCTGGGTTTAGATGAAAAATGTATTAAATTGCGTTCGTAATACCTATTATACTTCATAGCAAATGCTAAATACGAGTGTCATGAAAGCCGTATCGATAAAGAGAAGGAGTTCCTGAGGGACACGAGGTTCCCTCGTTCATTACCCCACATCTAGCGACGGCATCGTGTTAAGATAGCGCCGAGATAGCGGAACAATCTAATCTCGCACAGATTAAACCTATGTAAATTGAAATAAAACGAACCGCGTGTGCCCTCCCTCCTACCTCTGTATTGAGCAGACAGACATTAAGATTCGAAATTCTATTTAGACTGTCAAATTGACTTAGTATTAGTAGAGTTTTCTTAATGTTATAGGCCCGAAACGTGATTTAACTTCAAGACTTTTTTATATGTCGTCGGTGGTTTTTGACTTAGACGGAATTTTGATATTCTTACCGCCCATTTAATATCTAGATTTCCAGACGAAATCCAACATTTCAGAAACAATATCAATTGATTAGTAAAAATTTGGACCAGGTGAGGATCGAACCCACGTCTCGTCGATCATTGCTACATTACAGCAACGCGACCTTCAAAATATTAGGTTAATTCGAACCGCTTCCGTTCAACGTTAACCGAGATAAATCCTAGGTTCAAAGTCTGTCTACAACAAATGCTTCGCTATGGTCCCATAACATTATGGATCGAACGATCATCTAGTTCGCTACGTGCAAGTTCTTAAAAACTAGGTGTAAAAATCTACCGCAAGGCATCCTTTCTTCGGCTGCACGAAGGTTTTATAATGCGCGGGTATAAGCCTGAGTTATCTAATGGCGGCCACAAACAAGAAACGAATTTAACACGCACCTGCGGTCGCCAAATTATTACTAAGGAAAACGCGGGTTGCTAAATATATTACAAAGTAAGAAAAGTTCTTAGTTGCATTGCAATGTTTTTACAATATCTATACTAATATTATAAAGCTGAAGAGTTTGTTTGTTTGAGCACGCTAACCTCAGAAACTACTGGTGGGAATTGAACAATTATTTTTGTGTCGGTTAGAGCATTTATCAAGGAAGGTTATAGACTATAAAATACCGCACTACGACTAATAGGAGCGTAGAAATAGTGGGAAAGGTGGAGAAAACGGGTGAAATTAATCTTGACGCTGCGTAAACGGTACATGACACTCAAAAAATATGTATAATGTATGATTCCTCTTTAAATGATCTAAAAAATGTCCTCGACACTATATGAGTATCTTTTAAAATTAACTTGCAAGAACGAAGGGTCGCGACCTACGTCGTTGGTATTGCCAAGACATAAATATATATACGTAAAGAGGACGTTTGCAAAAACAAAATTTTGATTCCCAAAATAACTATTCTACGAAAGAAGTCGCTGACACAGCCAATATATACATATCTATATTAGCACTTTGTATCAACTGCACAAATGGCATTAAATACAAGCAGATTATTAGTCTCCGGCTGATTAAGAAAATGTTTAGAAGAAATTGCCTAGTTTTACGTAAAAACACTGTTTATTTCTCAACAGATAACAATACATACATTAATATGTAAATGTGCAACTAATAATGTTGCTGTCGTTTACGTCATGTACTTCTCTGCCATATCGTCTAGCTGTTCTGCAGTGTTCCCATCAGGTTCGGGATTACTCTCAGATTCCATTGCTTCCGTAGCTTCTTTCTTTGAAACTACATGCGCAGAAATTTTTCCTTCTTTAACCTTTGAAGGCAATAAAACTCATTATAACATACTCACATTCATTGGAAATAGTAACATCCATAGGTTTTATACTAGTCTGTTTAGTTAAAGCAATACGCGTTAAGCATGTCGCGGGTTTGAATCCTGGACATTTTTTAATGAAACGCTTTTAACGGTTTAAAACGCGAACAGTATAATTTTAAATGCGGCCCGTCGCTTCCATCCCGACCCATCTGGAGATGCTAATTTTTTTTTTGCTCGCACAGAACGCCGAAGGTGTAACAACTCTTTCCCTACAAATAACATTAATCACGGGTTCTGTTTCTTCCAAAAAAACTACAACAAATTAAAAGTGATTAACAACTAAAATAATCCTCTGCAAAGGCGGAAAGGGGAAATGGGTAGAATGGTCAGCAAATGATGTGCACTGATCGCCCGGCCTTCAATCTATGTCCCCAGTAGAAAATAATAATACCAACTAAAATAAGTACCTCACTCTTACAGTTTTCGAACTCCATGGAAGTATTACGTCTACCTCTTCTATCTTTTTTCTTCATCTGTTGAACTTCGAATTTTTGAATAAACTCCGCCTGATTTGTGTAATCATTTGGCCTATTCTTGAAATACTCCGGGTTAACTGGAATGTCTGAAAGAATTTTTACAATTATTGTAAGAGAATGTTGCTGAACTAGTATTAGCTAGTTACTAACAAGTTTGCACTATTAATGTTAGTTTATTTATATTTATTGAGTGAACATTTTACCATTGAGTGATTATATTTACAGATAAGTCACAAATGAGCCTCGAACAGAGATTAGCCTAATTTGTGATAGCTGACTGAACAATTTTGCTTCCTTTCTTGGATTTCAACTCAAGATCTGTCGCGATTAACGCCTTGTATTGTACAATCCTTACTAACATCAATATTACAACAATGAAAGTATACATACCGCTACCAAGGATTTCTGTAATCATGTAAGGAAAGAGCCAGCCGACTAGTGGTGTCTGTCCGGAAACATAATGTGCCTGCTTGTGATAAAATAAAAAGCCATCGAGACATGGAAACTCCGGGTCTTCACAAGGCGGATACTTTGATAGGAAACTGAAAAAGACAATGTGAAATTAATAAAAGCTACAACTGACCACTAAAACCTTTTCCTATTTAAGGTTCAAACAACTCGGTGGGATGTGTGAAAAAAGTGCATAATTATGTTTATTTAATAAAAACTTAATTAATTTGAACAATGTATACACGAAAGATAACTAGTATAACTTATCAAAAAAATTGTAGTTAAAATAAATTGTATATAAGTCGAGTTATATATTTCGCGTTTATACTGTTAAAAGTGTTTTATTTAAAGCCTATTTAAGTCTTTAAATTAAAACTGTCAGGATCTTTTTTCATACTCCACCGAAGGTTTAATTATGGGGAGAAAATTGTTTGTTAATCTACGTTACTTGTATAATTTAAAAATCGAAACTAAATTGAAAAAATTTTCGACTCGGGCAGGACTTGAACCGGCATCGTCAGCTTTCCGTGCTGTTGCTCTACCAATTGAGCTACCGAGTCCTACACCTCATCGTCGAATTTTTTCAACTTATTGATACATGCACCTCTCGCGCAGTGTAATTTGTGTGTTACGTTACTTGTGTTAAAAACTGCCAAGAGGACAAAGTAATACGTAATCATTTATCATTTCATCATAAATATTATAGGTGTAGTAAACTACAATTACGATAGATTTATTACAGAAAAATAAGAATAATTTCTTTATGAATTTTTTTTTATTTTTATTTTATTTTATTTATTTACACACAGGTTTTACATATTTAATACACATCTGTTAAAACTAAAATCTATACAAACTAGTGATAGTGGTATAAAGATTTACCTATTTTAATCACAATAAACTTTGTCTTATAGACTCACTACATACAAAAAAGTGTAGTACAGTATATCTAAAGAGTATGTGATACTAGAAACAAATGTGCTACTTGTGCAAGTGGATGTATATTTAATTTGTTTTTAATGTGATCCCAAACTAGGCAATGCCTGTCTTATGGGAACCACTCAAAACCGTGTTAGCTATAGGATAGACGAGTTATATTAAAAAATAGATATACAGTCCCTAGATTATATGTTTATTTTATATTGTAAGCATTATTTGTTAAACAATGTATGACGTGAGAATATATAGTGTTTCTGGTTATACATATGGAGGGAGTATGTTTTAAAGTGTAAGATTACTGGAGAGTATGTAAGATTTTTTCTGTTTCGTCGTATGTTAATGTATGGAGCCATTTTTTTACTATGTTATATGCAGCGTTGTGATGCAAATGTTTTATATTGCAGGACTTGACTACCTTGTTGTATAATTATACTTTATGACCTACAAATTTCTACTCACGTATTCAAACTATTCCTTGAACATGGTATCATTGGTAACAATTTGAATACTATCTTGTTATACTTGGAAACTGTCTTGATAGCCTCAACATTATCTAAATATGATTTTAACCAAAACTGACGGAATTCCATCTGAAATCAGATAAAAACAGTAGAATAATGTACAGTTAAATTAGTTAATGAACTAATGAGATACTGTTGTTTAGTTACCATGATAATGCCGATGCCGAACATAAGATAGCCGATGGATTATTTTAATTCATTGGCTATCTTATGATTTATGCTTTAACTATTCAATTTTTAATAATTAAATAAAATTTAAAAATTTTTGGTGGGCAGGTTAACATGGTGATATTTAATTTTTTTAACATTGAATATTGCTTACCTCTCCATCTGTCATTGGTTGAGTTTTCCAGGCAAGCAAATCCAAGACGTACATTTGTTGCCCTAAGCTATCATAAAAGCAGTCCAAAACACAACTTTCGTGTTTCCCAGATGTCTCAGGGCTACCACCTGGAAGTCCTGTCTTGCATTCAAACTTGAATTTACCAAATTTTGTATAACATTTAGTTATACCCTACAAAGAAAAAGAAATATATATATGATGACTAGAACTTTTACAATTTTGACACAGTAAAAAAATATGGTATATTGGAAGTGAATTTTATACAAAACATGGGGGTTGTAAATCCACAACAAACAAGTAACTTAATAGACTACTTCATAGGCAATAAATAGTTTGACTTGCACACATATTAATAGTATATCATTATCCTGCTCTACCACTATAGTTACATAATATGTAGCCTGTATTCTTTAATTCTGAGTCCTTTTATGCAAGTACTGACATTAATACAATTTGTATGGTGAAATCATTAATGTTATGTTTATAATAAATTAAACTCACCTGATAAGCTATAACTAACACTCTGACTCCTTTTGGACAGGGGCTGATGTACCAATTAGTTTCAAAATCATTAGGTTTTTGAACAAGCCATTCTGACAACATAAGGACATTGCTGTATGCTCTAGATGGTTTATTAAAACCAGGAACATATATGTTTGGCCTATATGAAACCTAGAAATATAACATACACAAAGTAAATCCTGTTCATTGGCATGGCATAACTGATAAAGTTCATTATATTTGATAATTACCTTATCATATGGTTTAAATAAATTATCTTCTTCGTGATTCTGTATTAATTCGAGAATACCTCGGAAACTATCAATTTTGCAACTTCTTTTACTGTAAATGAGAAGAAAAGTGATTAACTAAAGTTTATTTATTATAATAACAGTATGTTGCAGTAACATGTTACTAAATTCTGAGTTGTTAAATCATGCAACATTTTCTTCTATGAATTAACAATAATCTATCACATAAATGTTCAATTATCAATGTACCCTTTTTGTGATTGTAAAAGCTCTTTACGTCTTTCTTCTTGAGATCCATATTTACCCCAGTTTTTATACAGCTCTCTAAATGATGTGTCCTTATCATCATCCCCTGGTGCTTCAAGTTTCTCAATAGCTCGTTTTATATACTCAAGATCTTTTTCCATTTTAAAATATGGATAATGCTGCAATATAATAATTATTTATTATTGATATAGAATATTAATTATAAAGTTGTAAGTCGTTAGTATAATTTGAAGTATCGCATATATAGGTTTCTGTTGTCTGATGTAAATTGTTTAAATATATTAAGCTTTACACTATTTTCTTCCATCCTTTATGATTTTACTTTATGAATAAATACCTACCCCACCGGTACTTTAACATTTACACCCGAAACAGGAACAGACTTTTAATTGTATATACAATGTTATGTATAAAGTTTCAACAGGAAATATTTTTTACAGAATACAATGTATTAATTAATTTCATATTATTGTTAAGGAAATTAGTATTTATTTAGCTTAAAAATCACAATAATAACAAGATATATTCAACTAAACAAAACTAGACAAGCACGGGTAGGTCAAATTTGTCATCTGTCATGCTTGTCAATGCGACATACAGTTTGTCTATCACAGTCCACAGCTAACACTATTTAAAAATATTTAAGGCAAATGAATTCAGTTTGCAGGAAGTGTAATATCAATTCACGGAGAGTGAATTGATATTACACCAACCTTTAAAACCATAATATATTATCTCTCAATTCTTATCCTAGTTATTGAATTGAATTGCTGAGAACTGCATCCGGTTTAATAAAGCGGTTTTTTCGGGATGCTAGAACAGACATCAAAACCTTTTCCCCGATACATATGTTATTAGACATGATGTACTCGCAGTTGAATTTCTCCGTTGACTTTGAGTAACTAAAGAAATATTTTACTACTAAAGGATTAATATTATACAACTTTAAAATTATGTAAAACCTTGAAGTCTAACTTTTTGTTACTGTTACAATCCGTTACGCATTAGAATCACAGCTTGCGTAATAATCGAATCCATACTTAATATTTCTTCTTAAAAATGTAAACGAAAAGAACCTACAACGAAGGTACTTCAAATTATATAAAGGGATTTAAAAGGTGCATCTAGTGTAGACAGACATGCGCACTAATGCGCAGCAATGCAGTCCCCATTCTTTATACGGTGTTTCTGGAATCAGGAAGCCAGTGCTAAGTACCTTTTACCTTCTCAATCTCGAGATGGTTGTAAATAAAAATGTACATGTTATATCTTAAATAATAATGATCTGAGTACATTTTAGGATACATCGCGAGACATAGCTATAAAGTAATATTATATTAGTGAATAGTAATAATTCAGTTTTAAAGGGTATTTTATTATATCTATCTATCTATATATCGCTTTTAAAATATAAATGAATGGATATAAAAAACAACGAAGCAGTGTTTTTAATTCTAACCTAACGGCTTACAATTTTTAGACATATACGATATATTATTTAAAGAACTAAAAATTTCCAATTGTACACTAATTTATTAAAGGACGCAATTGTTAGAGACAGTTGTAAACTGTCTAAACTAAATTTATTAATCGTAGCCAGTAAAGCAAACTGTTAGTTGAAATGAGATTGATAGAGTAAAGCAGATTAACACACAAATATTTCAAATAACGATTAGGACAATAATTTAGGACCTAACTTTAGCTATATCAAAGAAGTAACCAGATGTGATTGAAGAAGCTTATAATTTGTGATAATTTTGTGACAAAAATCACAAGTACTTATTTTTTTGCGCTGATTGAATTATGGAAAACATTCTAAATAATACCGAACCATCTCGAAATAATCATAACAATATTTCAAATTCAAATTTTCGCGGGTACATTTCTTTGAACAGTCAAATAGCTTTTTTTTAATAAATGAGAAATCTAAATCAAATGTAACGCTTTTTTAAATATTAACTATAATATTTGATATCAATTTATAAACAAATATATTTGTAATTAGTATGTAAGAATACTTAATGATATGTATAAAATGTTTAGCTTGGCATCCGAGAGCATCCATGTTCTTGCGGGGTGGCAATTCTTAAAATATATCCCTATTTATAGAAATTTTAGACACTGATGTCACCTTAACAACCCATATCTAATACAGCGTGATACAATAGACATATTATTATTGTTGAATTCTTTAAAAAATCCACTTACATTTATTTGAATAAAATTTGATTTCTATGAAAATTAACAATAATTATAAGTAAAGTAATAATAATTTAATATTATTATAATAATAATTAGTTAGCAAGAAATTTTAAATGTAAATTCATTATTAAAAGTCAAGCTTAATACAACGAGATAGGCACAGAAATAAAACTGCAATCATATCTGTCATAAATGAGCATCTTATAATATCGCAAATTTATATCGTTTCATATGGTAACTCTTGAACCAAGCTGCGATTTTAACCGAACGTTTTTCTGTTCGATCCGAGAATAACCGAACAAATGATTAGGTCACGTGGTACTTTTGGAGTCTTCGTGGCGTAGCTTGTTCAGCTGCTCGTCGAAGCGGCTGTCGGACGGTCGTCTCCTCGCGATTCTGCGTACAATGTAGCAGCCATTTTTGTTCTTAGTTCATAATAGCGTGCGCATAATTAATGTATTTAGGGAAATAGGTAGACAATTTTCAAGATGACTATTATAGTCTTTTTAATAGATACATCAGCATCTATGAACCAAAGAGCTTATTTGGGCGGACGCCCAACATTACTCGATGTAGCCAAGGGCGCTGTGGAAACATTCGTAAAGGTACGTGCAGTGTCATCGACATCAACCGCCTCATTTTTGTGATCGATTTGTTTAGCTTGACGATATGCGTTCTATTCAATCGCTATTGTGTTGTAGGTACGTCAACGATCTCCCGAAAGCAGAGGCGATAGGTATATGCTTCTAACTTTCGAAGAGCCACCCGCGAACATCAAGGTTAGTGTATCAGAGTGAACACGTTTCGAAAATCATACAGTGAATTTGTATACATATGTACGGAATAATGCATTTATGGCGTACATGAGTGAATCACTTAAATTTGTAGTTCAATACATGAACATTCTTCGCTTGAGACTTTAACAAAATGTACAGCACGACGTAAACAGGACGAGCGGCCGCCGTTGCTGTCTCGCGATATCGCTCGCGAGTCGCGACTGCGTTCTCTTCGCCCTCCCATTGGTCGAGACCGCATTCGAGACGAAATGGCGAATTGGGGGGAAATATGAAATCATGAGTGTGTGTGGTTTCGCTTTTGTGATAACGCTTTTAAAACATATTGTATGTTTTTATTTGGCGTCGCTCGAGTGAAATTAATCGTTGAATAATTACCTTATTGGTTGCAGGCCGGTTGGAAAGAGAATCTGGCGACATTTATAAACGAACTGAAGAATTTGCAGTGCCTTGGTCTCACCACTATGGGTGCTGCTTTGAAGCACGCTTTTGACGTGTTAAACATTAATCGTATGCAGACCGGAATAGACACCTATGGGCAAGGGAGGTGTCCTTTTTATCTTGAACCCTCTGTCATAGTTGTTATCACTGATGGAGGAAAACTATCGAGCAATGCTGGCATACAGGAAGAGGTTAGTCAGTGCTATCAACTAAATGTTTTCCCTTCTGTTTTCTTAAAATTTAATCTTATTGGAATTATTATATTAATTTACATTTGTCTCTTGGTGACATAAAAAAGCCCTTAAGATATCATTCAATCTACTCATCTTGCAATTCTGAAACTCAACTAGCTTTACAATACAATTTAATGATGACATGTCATGGTTATGTATTAGAATTTATACAATAAGTCCTTATTAGTAAATGGATATTTCTTAGCACATTTGCTTTTATAATTAATAACATATAAGTTTTGCAATTGGTTTCTTTGTTTTCACATATACAACTTATTTTTTTTTAGTTTAATCTGCCGATGAACTGCCCGATTCCTGGATCAGAGTTAACACGAGAACCATTCAGATGGGACCAAAGGCTGTTCTCATTGGTGTTGAGGCTGGCTGGTACTCCAGCTGTGGAGCGGGACACTGGACTTGTGCCATCTGATTCATCACCAATTGATGCAATGTGTGAAGTCACGGGTGGTAAGTATTATAAGATTGTATTTTGGGAAGACCGATAGAAGGCCACATCATTTGCTCATCATTCCACACAGAGGCTATCCTAAAATACATTAAAAAGGTGAATGTAGATAGTAGAATTCTGTTTTACTGATAAATTTTAGAATAGGAACTAATTTGGATAATTTCTTTGTATTTCTCAATATGCTGTAATTTTTTTAAATACAACTCTAAAACCTCAATATAAGATAAATGCTATATAGATAAAAAGTGTGTGTTACAATTGACCTACTAAGGCCGTTTAGAGAAAGCACTTATTAAATAATTTTACTTTAAGTGCATTTTATGACTAGAAGAGTAGGTATGTTTATACAAATAATGACTAAATCAAGAAAGAAGTACTGAAAAGCAGGAAGGTATATACTTGCAAAACAGTAAGAGATGGGAGGCGATGTAATTTTGCCTTTAAGCAAAATTTGAGTGTTATCACAATTATAATGGTTTATTACTCAATCACAAATTAGCCCAGCACATTTGTTTTACTTTGCAAGTTTTATTATTTTAAGAATGACCTATGTCAAAATCAACATTGTTTTTGTTGTGTTGCATTGTTCAACTTGAATCGCAGACAATTAAACAAAAATGATATGGTTGGGTTAAGCAGAACTTAAATTTAGTGCATATTTTGTAAGCTGTATATTGCATTGAATTTGTTAGGGTTTATAATAGTTGGCTAATGACTGAGACATAATATGTTTAGACAAAAACTTGTTACAACCGTTGTTCCCTTTCGGGTTTATCATGAATACATTATTCGTACGTTTCCAACATAAATATTCCCGTGAACACGTCATTTATACAAATATGGAATTCGCGACATAACATAAAGAAAAGTTGTTACTTTCGTTCGGATAAACTTGCAACGCCAGCCTTCGCCAAACAGATTAGCAATATCGACAGGGCGTCACAGGCCCTTTAGAAAACCAGCTTTACAAATTTTTTGAGCAGAGTTCACTTATCACCGGTGTGTTTAAATGCTAGTGTCAATTAGTAGAAATTTCGTCGTGTGCATTTCTTGACTTAATATATAATATGACTGTACTGTTCCGCCTTCATACAGACGGTGATATACGCAGTTAATTCACATCCAGTCTGTAAGCGTTATCTCGCGTTTCCTTTGAAACGCTGCGTGGTTACCCTGCAGACTCTCGCACGAGCCTCTGTTTGATTAACTCAATACTTCCCACTAAATGTCACCTAGTATAGAATAGCTACAGTTTTGGAATCGCGGATAAAATAATGATTTGACATAGGATAACTTAATTTAAAGCCACGCCGATTATTGACATTGAAAGTCATACGCTTCGCGTTGCAGTGTTTGGCTGCAATTTCGAAAATACTTGATGGCCTATGATAATGATAATAATGTATGATAATATATGCAAAGTTCCACTCGTTGCAGCCTCGGTTGCTCGAATCTTTAGAATACACGTAATACGATCTCTAAACGCATTGAGCCTCTTATGTTTAAAACAACTGTATGGTGGGTCAACTCCATATTAAAGCTCGTGACTAGCCCAATAGTTTACTTATAACGTAATTATAAAAAAAACATCTTAGTATATAACTTGTTTGCATCACTAAGCTTTTACTATTAAATTTTCTCATCAATTTCAGGTCGGTCTTATTGCATCACGTCACATCGGATGTTAATGCAGTGCATCGACAGTCTAGTGCAGAAGGTGCAGAGTGGTGTTGTTATTAATTTTGAGAAGATTGGCCCCGATCCGCCGCCCATAGACGGAGGCCCTAACAGGGATGGCGAAAATCCGGACGAACACCACGAAGACAAGGAAATGGAAACCGACAACGACAGGAACGGGGTAAAAATACCGTAGTCTAATTTTTGGTCTATACCTATTATTATATACAATTATGTATCCTAAGATGACATGATAATGCCCTGAGCTTATTTCACCTTCACAACAGAAAGCACTTTCAAAGCAGTCATTAGGTTAATTTTAAAGAATAACGGAATACATATGCCACACTGCATAATATTATTGCCAAATAGATTCTATTATTGTTTTTATCACCCGTATTTGCATAGTTTATTCAATTGTTGTGTTCTTTAATTAACACTATGAAAAATACTTGTTATTTGTAGCCTGTGTAATTAAACACTGAACTAGCGTTTTATGTCTAATTATTAATGAAATGTAATGTTCGCCCTTTGCAGAGATGGAATGGCGGGCCCTACCAGTCTAACGTGGGTCCCAATCAGTCCGCCGGCGCGCCCCAGGCGTGGCACTCGTGTCGCCGTCTCATATACGTCCCACGCACTGTGTCACAAAAAGGCTTCGCTGTTGGCTTCTGGCCTATTCCTGAATCATTTCGGCCCGATCCAAATGCACCTACGCTGGTTTGTAATTTGATCTTTTAAGAGTAAAATAAAAAATTTGATTTTAGATTATAAAGAAATTACGATACGGACAGGACCTACACGCCATCCACAGCGTGTCGTGCTGTTCCTCTTTTGTTGTTGAGTAATAGCACGGAACGCTGTGTGAATCTAAAATCTTTTTTTTTTACATTTACATTATGCTATCGTGTGCAAAACGTGCGCAAAATCTTATTTTTCAAATATATAGCAGTATGTTAGATTTTACAACATTGTTGTGTAGTAACTTTGCTAGTAAGTACTGACAAAATAGCCCATGCCTTGAGCAAATATTCTTCTCTTAATATGAAAAACTGATTGCCACCACCCAACCCGTGTTGTAAATATAAATATTATTATTACAGCCGCCGCGCTCAGCACACCCAGTAGTAAAGTTCACGTGCTCGAGTCAAGAACCGATGGTCATTGACAATCTTCCCTTCGACAAGTACGAGCTCGAGCCCAGTCCACTCACTCAGTTCATATTGGCTCGGAAACAACCCACTATCTGCTGGCAGGTGAGATGTTATATATATATATATATATATTTTTTTATTTTATTTTTTACATAATTCAAGGCACACAGTCGTTCGTTCAAAGTGGTACAAATCTAATAAAATCTTCGTGTTTTTCAGGTTTTTGTAGCGAACAGTAGCTGTAAGAATTCTGAAGTGAGCCACCCATTTGGTTACCTAAAGGCATCCACGAACCTAACTTGCGTGAATCTGTTTGTGTTGCCGTATAATTACCCCGTGCTGTTGCCGCTGCTCGACGACCTGTTCAAAGTCCATCGTTGTAAACCCACACCGGAGTGGAAAATGGCGTTTCAGCAGTATTTGGATAGAATGCCTTCATATTATGTTACAGTAAGGATCTCGTACTTAGAATTTAGAAAAATAAGTTTATTTACTTCTCTTTTCATTCTATAGAAGAATATACACCAAGAAATCTTAGTTTATTATTTCACTCTGATTTCAGCCTCTCCGCCGAGCTTTAACAAAGATGGGCGCGTCCGCTCCCCTCGTACAAAGTTTAATTCCTGAGACTCAAGATAACTGCCTTAGCTTCTCTGTGCTGAACTATTTGAAAAGACTGAAAAATCAAGCCAAGATTGAGTTTGAGAAACTCTGCGCCGACGTCATCAATAAGGCTTCGAGCAATAATACCCAAAAAGTATGAAGCGATTACTTGTACTATTTATAGATGCTAAATTCTGATATAAACAGACACAGCGATGTTTTGCAGTCAGAGTTTATCGAACGTTATCTGTAAAATTTCGATTTTCTTCGTGTATGCTACTCGCTTATCTTAATTTATTACGACATCACAACTGCACCGATATCATTCGCTGTTAGTACGAGCGATTATACGTTTGTACCACTTACAAATCAAATTGACCCCTAAATAATTTCTTTCTTATCTGTGTTTGCATACCGCGGCTCGTCCACGGTTCAGATAAAATGAGGTCACACTGGTCATTATTACTGTTTATTGAATATTCTATAACCGTTCGTGTTTATTTATATAATCAGTGCGAATCTGAAGAGGTGTGACGTTACGTAAGGGCCACCTTAAAACTAGTTGTGTGAACGCATGAAACCATACTTGTTGGCGAACGGATTTAATTTCTCAATCTTGGGATTATGACGCCAGGTTAACTTCATTTGTACGTCACGCGTGACGTGTACGATGACGCGAAGGACGCACATTATCTTGTTTATTGAGACTAAATTTAGTTTTTTTATTTTTTGAACACAAATCATTAACTTTTGTATCAAATTAAAATTATAAATATATATAATACAATGTATTGTATAATATAAAGGACGCGTAACTGTAATGAAAGGATAAAAACGATCATTATGGTTTACAACGTCATCTTAATAACATGTGACTATTTCATTGCATTCTAGATAGCAGAGAGCGTAAGAGTAATGCCGAAGTCGGCCCTTAAGAAGGAGCTGACGAGTCACCCGTGCCTTCAGGACAAGTTTACAGCTCTAAGGGATCAATTGAATGAGTTTGGGGGGTTCGTGGTGGGTTTGTCTCGAGGGAGGCACAAAGCGCAGGCGCATACTTACAGGAACCCTTTTGACATTCAACGCAGAGATTTGTTAGATCAGGTAAGTTTTAACAGACATTATTGTATAGTACTTGTATGAAATTGGAGAAAGAGATATTATTGTAGTAAAAAGAAACGACATGCCGAAGTTATTATAAAAAATAACTTTGCGTTTTGCACCGTTTACAGTGTTTTATTAAAATTATGTAAAAAACCTTATGTATAATTTACTTACCTTACAAACAAATTGGATGGCTTAAGCACATATACGTTAAAAATCAATATAAACTATGTAATAATTCCTTATAACTTACAGGTGGTCCGGATGCGAGCAAACTTCTTGCAGCCTTCGCTTGCGCATACGCGTCTAGTAGACGAAGACAGCGTCCACTCGATGCCCGTGGCGCAGATGGGCAACTACCAAGAGTATCTGAAGCGGATGACTCCACAACTTCGGGAGATAGAGTCGCAACCGGTGCGCCAACACATGTTTGGCAATCCCTTCAAAATAGACAAGGTAACATTCCCATGGCTTTAAGTAGTCGAGCCTTGCCTCCGTTTGTTACTAAATATAAAAAAAAAATCCAACCTCCTTGTATATATTTTCTTGTGATCTAACATTTATATCATAGAAGTCCTGACAATTGTAATAATAAAACAAAAACGATATTAACAAAAAGTCTATATATTTTATAATATATGATTTGATAAATAAAAAATACTTAAATAATGTAATTCTTTATAACTATTTCCAGCGTATGATGGTTGACGAAGCGGATATAGATCCGATGGGCACGGTTCGTGGCAGTGGTGGTGGCGGTGTAGGTGGTAAGCGTGGCGCCGAGAGTCCTCGCGCCGCTCCGCCGAAGAGGAAAGCCGGACCTTTACCACAACATATCGTGGCAAGACGACCTACGTCCCCAGCACCCATGTCACCTGTTCACAGGCCCCGTATGTATTTTTATCGATAGTGACAACTCGAAAGACCACAACACTCAAAATCCAGTTAAGATAGACTAAGCTTTCACTAATTTCCATAGAGCTAAAAATTGGTATCAATGTTCAGAATACCTATCTAAACTAATATATAAAGCTGAAGAGTTTGTTTGTTTGTTTGAACGCGCTAATCTCAGGAAGTACTGGTTCGATATGAATAATTATTTTTGTGTTAATAAGAACATTTATCGAGGAAGGCTATATATAGGCTATTAAAAATCGCGCCGTGGCTAATAAGAGCGAAGAAACAGCGGGAAATGTGACAAAAACGGGAAAAATATTCATCTTGCATGGAAGGATCATTCCTCTTTAAATGATCTAAAAAAAAAGTCCGCGACCCTATATATCTTTTAAGATTAACTTGCAAGAACGACCCGAACGACGGGATATCAATGTCGTGGGTAACAGCTATAATTTATAAAGATGAGGCGGAAGTTCACAAAAATACATTTTGACTGGCGTAGCTAGTTATTAAAAAAGTGTGAAAGGTGCAATGTGCAATGTCTTTATGAAAGGTCTAAGTTTGTAAAAAAGTAAAGGTATTGCGCGTTTTCTGCATAACGGTGAGTTGTAAAGCAAACATAGTTCAGAGTAAAATTTAAGATCATCCGATGCTCTACAAAAATGTATCTGCGCACAAAATAAGTGATGTATCTGGGATATTAAAGCGAAAAATTATATATGTATAGAATCTAATGATCTCCAATTGCAGTTCAAACTATTTTTGCTATAAATCCCAACATTTAGTTGAAAAACACAATTTTTTCAAACTTTCACCACCATTAAAAAAATTTTGTTCATTTAGACCATTGACAATTCAGACCAATTTTTAGCTGTATGGGATTTAATGTAACTTCAGCTCTATTTTCAGGACTAATTTGACTAATTTGACAGGTTATCTTAGATGAATAGACTTTTTTTTTCATTTAATTGAAATTGAAAAAAATAAAATAGTGGAAAGTAACAAATATTTTGCTAAATGAAGTGCGGTGCCTGTTTAAATCTAGGATAACAATAAATAAGAACGAACGGTACAGATCTTACAAGTCTGTTTCACTGAACTAAAACGACTTAATTTGCAAGAAAATATCGTATTAAACAAATCCGTTTGTTTGAATTGTGTTATTTCTCAATTCCAGCTTCCCCGATGTCACTGGTGTTGCCGGCGTCTCCCGTGCCTCATAGCACGCCCCCCGCCTCACCCGCTGCGGCGCCCCTCTCCCCCGTTTCTCGACGACCTGCGTCCCCCCTCGCGCCCGTTCCTTCCGACTTGCCTTCTGGGCGACCTCCTGAAGTAAGTTAAAAGGCGATAGAACACGTGTCTATGAGAAATCAAATATTGGCTTTTCTTCAAAACTAAAGCTCTGAATAGAAATGATTGTCTGTACTATGAGGATATTGTATATTATTTTCAGGAGCCTCCCAACGTGGAATCTGGTGGGACGCCTGGTCCGGCCGCCCCTGCTGCCCCCGCGCCACCCGCCGCGCCTGCGAATTTACCCCCTATCATCAAACCTTTTCTCAACGGAGGTAAGCTTACACTTAGTAGTAAACTTATAAAAGTTTGCTATCATTTTATTGCGGCTTCGTTCGTAGAATAATTATTTTGGGCATCACAATTTGTTTTTGCAAACGTCCTATTATGCGCTTCGTAATCTTTTATAAAGTATAAAGTCTTCCTCGATAAATGCTCTAAGCATGACAAAGGTATTTTTGTAATTCGAACCAATAGTTCCTTAAATGAACGCGTTCAAACAATCACAAGTGGTGCGCCCTATCGATGTCGGTGTACTTACTTTTCAGATGCATACACTACGATGGGCAGCAAAATGTCGCGCTCCCCGTCTCCGCCGCTAGAGGTGTCTTCGCCGCCTTGTGACACGCAAGAGCTGCAAATCAACGCCATCTTGCAAGGTGTTGCAGCTGAGAATAGCTCTAATTCCCGCAGGAAAAAGAAACGAAAGGTACCAATTGCTTTATATCTATTTTTACAACATTACCTATTTATTCATTATATTTATTTAACATATTTAATACACATGTATTTATTAGGACTATACATGTACATAGTAATACTATGTGTGAAATCCCGTTTCCCCCTCGTGGGGCATGGGGCGAACACATTTCTGTGTCCGTTTCACTGATCTTTTCATTAACAGGCAAAGAGTTGATCAGACTTCTGTGCACTGCCCGACCGAAACAATTTTTTGTTTCCCTGGGATTCGAACCCCGGACCTCTCGAGCTTAACGCAATGCTAGGCAATATGTTAAACCATGTGGCTACAGAGGCGTCGACATAGTAATATTACACATTAAGAATGAAGTATCCTCACTAAATTACAAAAATATCGTTAATGTCTAAGATACTACAAAATTGCCCGCTCTTTCATTAAATTGCTACTTTTAAACCGATTAAATATTTAAATAAAACACTTTAACGGTTTAAAACGCGATATATTAGTTAAACTTATTTGAAAATTATTTTTAACTTCGGCCCGACGTTTCGGATGCTTTGCAGCAGCCGTGGTCACGGGGAGGTCTCCCCGAAGTTAAAAATAATTTTCAAATAAGTTTAACTAATATATCGCGTTTTAAACCGTTAAAGTGTTTTATTTAAATGTGTACTACTCGCGTAAGCTATAGACAGTATTCGATTAAATATTTTTAGTCTATTTAAATTTTAATTCAACTAAATGAGAATAAGAAGGGGTTCAAAGGTACATTATTTACAGATTCAACTTTGTCACCAAAGTTTTATTAATTCAAGTTAATCTTTAATTGTAGTATAATATACAAACTGTCTGTTTGTCTTATGTCTTATGCCTACTGACATTCATATGTAAACCATTACTAAAATAATAATGTTTCATTTGTACAAGTGGATATGTGCATATATTTTTTCTTCCCTTCGACATAAGAATTAATGTTGATTTGAGATATCAAATTTGCTTCTTTAGATGGCAAAGTTTTGGCTTCCCAACGCCATTAATGATTATATATTAAACCTTATAAATGTTTGAGTTTATATATATAATTAAAAATAATGTTCTTAAACATTTTGAACAGGAGGAAGACAAAGTACATTTGTCGTCTGTTCTGCTGCCCCCGCAACCTTCGCGCAAAGAGCTCGCCGAAATTAAGAAGCACAACCTCTCTGTTCGCTCGGAGGTCTATCGCGCCGTGCGTCGACCGGGCAGAGGTCAGGCTTTTCCTTATCAGAGTTTAATTCAATCGCTCACATCGGTACAACCCTAATTACCGCAATCTCTTATTTCAGACTTTACAAAGCTGTTCGAATATCTTAAGCAATTGAAGGGCAGCGTGGATACGAAGAAGGAGGTGATAAGGGACGTGATCGGCGAGTCGTTAAGGTTCAAGAGGAAAGCCCTCGCGAAGCTCCTAGAAGACTTCCTGATCGGCCTCGAGCGCAACGGCAGCAGCGCCTCCCTCGACCTCAAGAGATTAGCGAACTCCGTGCCCGCGAACAGCCACAGCTAGTGACGGCGCTCGCTCGTGCTCAAATGTACTCAATGTTTTATGTACTTTAGACCGTACTGTCGATATTCGAAGTTGCGTTTCGTCATTGGACGGGTCGACTCGCCTCGTTCGGGCTGTGATGTCTATGGTGTCTGTTGTCTATGTTGATAGGGTCGTTACGTTTTACGCACGTCGTGGCCGAGCGCTCCGCCTGTCTGATCTCGCCCCGTATCGATGTCGATAAAATCTCATTTACAATGGTGACGTGAAATTAATGAAGCATTTAATAAAGTATTTATTTCATCGAGGTGTAAAACAGTAAGTCGTCGGCGCGAAGCCAGCGTCGAGCTAGTGGGTTAGGAGTTGTTGAATATTGCTGAAAGTTTGGGCGTTCATTGTTGCTAGTTAAAAATTTATACAAGTTACCAAGCCGATTTCGGAGTCAGACGATGGATCGGCGTTAATATAGTTAAATTTTTAGTGGAACAATTGGTAATCGCAAGGTTTAATCGTTTCGATACTATCCTCATTTCCCGCTGCAAACACACGAACGATTGAGACGTTTACTTTGCCTTCGAATGAGAATTAGAATGAAATTAGTTAACGTGGGCGTGTATAAAATGTAAATATTAGGTGTGAGAGTGAGATGCTGTGACGCATCGAGCGACCTTCAGAATGACAGGACGTTTTGAGTCTGCATTTGGGTTCCCGTGTAATTACTAATTAGTATTCTGTATGTTTTAAAGTATTGACTCGAGTATGATTTGTCCCAGTATTGTTGATGCGCAGTTTCTTAAATGGTCCTGTGATCCTAGCGGTCATTGTGTCAATTGTAAATTGTATATATCATTTTATAAATAAATTATGATCCTTATTGGATTTTTTAACATGAGTTTTCATTTTCCTTCTCATATTGAATCTTTTACATTCAAACTTTGAAAATGCTACCTTAAAACGTGTTTAACTCGCACTTGACCGCTATCTATCTAAAACCCGCATCCCTCTGATTGCGTCATTGGCGTCACGACGCACGAGCTGCAAGTATTTAAACATGATATTTTTTCTAAAGCTACTATTAGCCTACTTGTATATAGGTCAGAGTACATGCATAATTGTTCTCTTGAACAAGCTTTACGGCCTCGCCTCGCTGCAACATTTTAAAAATTCCTATAAATTTATAAATCGTAATAATAATAATCACAAGAACATATTAAACTCAGCCTTAAAATATATCTACCTATTACTTTGTATATTCGTGTATGGAGTACCATACACGAATATTACATAAGCTTAGTACTTGTGTATTGTAGTAATTCGACAAACAAACATACGCGAGTGTACATTTTACTATTAATAGTAGCAACATGAACTAAAAATAAGGTAGGATTACTTCATAAAGGTCTCGTATGACCTAAATCTTATATTTAACTGCGTAAGTAGGTATGCATCATTAGCCCGCGTATTCGGCTGCCGTCGCCCGTTATCAGTTCCCTGAATAGTGTATTACTGTGATATCGGTCGAACTAATTACCCTATTGACCTGAATTAAATGAAAAATAGCTACATGTCTCGAGAATGTTCATAATATACCAATTAAACAGAAAAATATCGTACGTTATATCAATCTATTTTACCTAAGAAGGTAACGCGACTTAACACAAATTTGTACAATTTGAACAAAAATTTGCTCGTAGTCTTTTTATCGATGAATTCGTAATGTGCATGAAGTTTTAATTATATGATGAATTATTGAATAGTAGAAGTTCTTCCTAATAACACCCTCAGGTAGAGAAATTAAAGTAATTTGAAATGAATAGATTAAAAATATTTGCTGCAGAGAGTGTAATCTGTATCGATAATTATAATCTGTATCGATATAATTGAACACCTATATTATATTTTCTATTGTAAGTAATCTTGTTTGCTTAATTATAATTTTTTACCGATGTCTTTGAAAATTAAAAAAGTACACGGCCATAGTTTCTATATATATAAAACTTAATTACACCTTATTATCGTTGTTTCTGAGAAAACGTAGTGTTTGTTAAGATTTAGCTAAATGACAAAAGCCCGTTCTTCTTCGAGTTAGAATTTACAGGAATTCAATTAATATAGCGTGCTCTATTCCATAGTTTTCTTTAATTAACTTTCTTGTATTTCAGTGACTAGGAACAGCGTTCTGAAATTGTGGAAGACATTCATCTATTTAAATTCAGCAATAATTGTGTATGTATTCCGCGAGACACATTTCAATTAGCGGGGACTGTTACCAAATTAGTTCGTAGCTGTCTGAAATAACAAGAGTAAATTATAAATATAGAGTTTAAACTTTTTGTTTTAGGATAAATACTACCACAGATGAATTAAACAATTTGTCGTTGGCGTCAAGTGTCAGTGGAAAGATTTGAAAATTGTAGTTAGAGTGACGGCAAGCGTCTCCGCTGAAATTTTTTGAAATTATTGCGTCATCATCGCGCGCGCATATACCCTCAATTTCTAAATTTCTAATTGGTAAAAACTTTAAAAGTACTTATACATTGTTAGTTAAAAACTTGTTTATGGGGAGGATTGTTTTTCTTGGATATTTGAGTTTTAGTTTAGTTTAGTTTAGTAGAACCTATTGAGCCATATCTATAACACTTGTAAAATACTTTTATTGAATGCTAGTACTAATACTTGACTCCTACCCTCTTCGTAGGCAGCTCGTTCATAGGCCGTTTCCTACTGAGAAGGAAGTCGAACTCGATTAAGTCCTTACATCTCGTGTGCGGTGCCATTTCGGAGGCTGTAGACAATCGCAACGGCATTCACACCGTCGTGGCCGGCTTAATTGAAAATTCGATTACCAAAACACGGCGCGCGCCGAATGAAGCACTCGGCTTATTTGATAACAAACGAACGTATTCCTAGTTATAATTTTAATTCGTATCTCGCAATTCAAATTAATTTGATCCCATTAATGCGCACCACTCACTCGTTCGGTTATTTGGCTGATGTATGTTGACTTTGGAGCGAAAATCTTTTCGGAAACGCAATTAAATCTGGAATTAAATAGTAGTTAATGGATAAAAGGATTTAAGTATCAATTGACCTATTTGGGATGATATTGCTTGCGCTTGAATTATTATTATTTATTGTTGCGTAATGTTTAAAACGAGCTGAGAGCTTTTGGACCGAGCTGTGTGCGCCAGATTCTGGGTTCGGACCTCGCGCTAAAAGTAATAAGAAACGTGCCTAAACCCTAGGGTGTGCTTTCATTCAACTTTAATGACAGTAAAACTTTTATTACGTAGATTTTATTTGTCGGTCATAGGCGCACCATGGATGGATCCGTGTTCTTTTCTGTGGCAACTAATAAGTTTAGATAGTTCTGAACAAACAAGTAGATAATTAATTGGCCTTTCTATGCATTAGCCGCGCTGTATACTCGTATGCATGTAGGTAGATATATTTGTGGCCGTATCTCATGTGGTTTATCTTTAGTACCAATTTAATGTCTTCGTCTGTGCGAAGGCATTTCCTTATCAGGGGTTCGCCCGTTAGCTCACCGCGAAGGGACAATATGGGTTAAGTAATCGAGTCTTATGTAAATTGTTTCATCTGTATTACTAATGATTGTTTGCGACTCGGAGGCGTATTACACCTTACAATACAAACTAAGTTTTGGCTTCATAAGGAGCTTCACTTGCTAAATAATTGTCACAACCAGATCGAATGTAATTTTGTCATACCGATTCTTTTATTGTCTCATCTTTTGAAATACGGAGTGATGAATAAATGTGTCAATCCTAAAACCAGCTTCATTTGTATTCAGGTGTCTCCGCGTAAGCGATTGACGTGAAGCCTTGCTCTAGATAATCCTTCGTGAATTACTAACAAATGATCATATATTTTATATTATCACCGCTCAATTCACACTAGATCTCGGACGAAATGAAGTTATTGCCGCGTTAAATTGAATACGGAACGAATTAAAGTATGTGTAGCGATATAAATAAAAATAAACATTTATCCGGGATCCGACATCCATTCTGCAATTTATGTTTCGCTCGCGTGTCTAGTGAAAGCCCGCGATGAAAGTTTCACCGTATCTGCGAGTTGCAGGCGTGAAAATAAAATTGGGACGAGTTTAGGCTTTCAAAATATCAGGGCTCCGGCGGGCAGCTGTTGGCCGGTTTCGCCCGCGATTCACACGCACCTAACTAGTTAAAGCGATTCGTCGCCACGTTTCCGATTGTTCCTCGTCGATGACGCGCGTAAGTTTCGTTCGAATAAATACGCTATGTTTCAACTCGCCGAGCGTTTTCTTATGAAAAAATATGTCAGGCACAGCGTCATCCCATTTTTATCAGCGCTCTCTCGCTCGGATGCTTCTTCTGAATGCCAAGAATTTATTGCGTTGTACAGCCTTCAGCGGAGCGGGAAGAATTAGTCGACAATCAGCCGCGGGGAAGTCGCCTAGGCCACGGACAATGCCGTCGCCGGAACGCGATATTGTTGTGTTGACAGTTATAAAAAGATCTTAATGGAAACGCGAACTTGATGGAGTGTTAAATCAAATAAATATAGCCCGCATTGTACGTTTCCGTGAATTTTATTGTATGTACTGAGATTGAACTAAAGTCTTTCTACGAAAATGCCGGATGTAGGATTGTCTACCACCACTATGTAATAAAATGTAACGCTCTGATGAGGGCAATTTATTCGCAAAATATTCTTAAACCCAAAAATAAATACCATAATTTATATAAGTCACTATAAAAAAGACCAAATAACTTGATGGCAAGAAGATTGTAAAAATGGTTGTGTTAGAGTACAAGACAAAGAAAATAAAATATTACGATACATCTTCTCTTTTTTCCTACGACTTTACAAGCTAGACCCTGACCTAAAAATATAATAATCATATTCCTTTATGTACACCCTTCCTCAGGTTTCAATATCTTTTATCTTACGCTTATTTCTCTATCATATATTATATATACTTTTCACATTGATATCAATAATGTGTAGGTACTTTT